TGATTATTGTGTACTGAAGTATTTATAAAAAATATATAATTGAAAGATACATAAATAATTTTCAACGTTGCTTTAGAATACTGGTAAATTCCAGAATATCAGCAATATGTCACTCAAGATTTCGAATTATGAAAGTCAATGATGAATGTTTCATTATAAATTCCATCATCATAAGAAAGTCAGTCAATATGGAAATTTTAAATATATTAAAAAAGTAATACAAATCATGAAGTTATGAAACAACCAAAATTATTTGGTGCTCCGGGACTACTTCATTGATTCCAACGGCGCATTTGCTTTCTCAGCTGCAGGAAAAACCGGAAAAACCTGTTATTAGTAAATGAAAAAACAATTCGTGCTCTAGTCGTTATCAGCTGATTTTGGAATGTATTCTTCAAGTATTTCAGTGCATTATTTTTATAAAATGACTTGTTAATATGTCGTAGTGAGATTTTGCTTTCTTTATAAGAGGCTGCCCACTTTCTCTTTCTAAATCATCACTGTCAGACATACTTTATTTATAATTAATTCAAAAAATCATTTATTGATTAAAACACAGGCTGAACCAATAGGAAAAAAATCGCACAGTCGCTTACGCATAGTACCCCGTCGCTATGGCATGCGTCTTCACGCCAGAAATCTGTTTAACGTGCGGCTATAGATGTGTCACATCAATATTCATGAAATTTCATTTTTACTTGGCCGATTATTACTATCATCTTCCATACATATTTTCATAGTTTTACCTGTTGAACATGAATAATTTGTTTGTGAGAGTCGTAAAAGTCAGAAGTGTTTTGCTTCTTCGACGATTTTATGCTATAGGAAGGAATCAAAGAATTTCCATCAAGTTTAATGTAAAAAATGGAATGAAGTGTTCAAAAATACTTGAAATGTTGACAATGGCATACAGTGATTGCACTTTGTGCCAGAAAAAGTTTACAAATGGTACAATTTTTCCAAAGAAGGTCAAGAAGATGTGAATGACGACGCTCATCGTGGAGGCCCCAGAAAACCAATCCTCAATGGGAATGTGGGAAAAGTGAAAAAAATTGTTATGGAGAATCGTTGACTCATTTTTAGAGTATCTGCTCACTCATCATTACTTGTTCGTAATTCTTCAGCCAAAAATAACACCATAATCATACCTCAGCCACGATATTCACCAGATTTGCTCCCCTGCGACTTTTTTTATTTCCAAGATTGAAAAGACCCATGGCAGCATTTTGCAAGGTTTGAAGAGATAAAACCGAATTACTGAGAAAGCTGAAAGACATGCCAAAAAATGCATATCGCAACCACTACGAGGATTGACAGAAACGCTGGCACATGTGTATAATATCTGAGGAAGACTACTTTGAAGTGGGCAGAATAGAACGCTGGCACAAGTGGACAAAATGGAAATTAATCAAGAAATGAATATTTTTTTGAAAAAAAATTAAATATTTTGAACGGTTTGTCGTAGATATTCTTGTGATTTTCGTCTACTCTTTCATCTGAAATTATTCACTTTTCAATTCATGCGATTCATTCCGAAGGTTTTTATTGTTATAATCCATCGAATGAAACTTCATTATAGTGGAACATCAATTTTGAATGTACTTCGATCATCTCATGGAATTCATATTGTTAATGAACATAAATTTCGCTTCGTCACATTGAAGAATTCATTTCATCCAAGACAAAAAATATTTATCTTTATATAAGCAATACTGTGATAATATTCTCAGTCAAATCATAACACCTGAATTGCAGAATATTTATTATCATCGTTTGAATATTGATTTTGTAATCAGTAGTGTGTGCGTTTTATTTATTACTTCTGTATCATTACTAGAATATTCTCATCGAAGTGAATTTTGATATATGGTAATGATAAATGTTCACTGAAATTTAAGAGTCTATGTATGAGGTTATGCTTTACAATTACTCAGGAAGGGGAAAGAGCATGGAAGTAAAGTTTTTGTCTTCGTTGGTAAATCATTCTCCCGATTTGGAAAATTTGTGAAATTGGTGTAAATTAACTGAACAGGAAATAAAATTTCACGTCAGATGGATTTGTATGATACAAATTTCATCAAGTGACAATCTGAAGTTGCCACTGCACATAAATTTTCAACCAAATTTGGAAAATTGGTTCTACAATACAATACAATATCTTTATTCCTTAAAATGATCAATTCACAATGATATAGGAGTCGTCAATGGTAAAAAAAAAACATGAAATGTATATAAACATTAGTATAACAGTATTACAAAATTCATAAATTCAACCTATGAGAGAGCTTTTTTAAAATAAACAATCAAAAGGGTTCATACATGTACATAATAGTTGAAATAGGTGATGCCAGACATAATATTAATTGTTGATTGGCGAATGTGGATATTCAAATATTCATTAATATTGTAAAAACAACCATCTACGAGATATTCTCTGATTCTCCGTTTGAATACTAAAATTGTTGCTACACTTTTTAGACCGGAAGGAAGACAATTAAAAAATTTGGAACCTGCTAGAGATGGCGTATTTTCGAATAATTTTGTACGATGTAGTTTGAATAAATTCCCGTTGCTTATTCCGTAATTATGACATTGGGAATTAACTTCTAATTCGAGTTCGCATTTTTTCACAAAATGCAGACAGTTATAAATATAAAGAGAAGGTACTGTTAATATCTTCCTTTGCTTCAAAACAGGTCTACATGAATCAGTATGACGTAGACCGTGAAGCATACGAATTATTCGTTTCTGAGCAACAAAGACCCTGTCAATATTTGTTGCATCTCCCAACAAGACCACATCATAAAATAGTACAGAATTAATAAAAGCATAGTAAACATGTAACAGTTGTTCTTCACTCAGTATTTTTTTAAGCTGCATTAAGGCATGGAAACTGCTATTGAGTCTTTTACTCACGTAGTCCACTTGAAATTGCCAATTCAATGAGTGGTCGATGTGAACTCCTAAAAATTTTGTGGATTCTGAAGGGTATATATTCGTGTTATTCATAATAACGTGTATGGGATGTTCCACAGATTTTCTTGGAGAAAACTGTACCAATACTGTTTTTTCTGCATTGACCAGAAGTCTATTTCTTTGACACTACTTTGAGAAATTTTGACTTATTACATTCAATTTTTTTTGAAGTTCCAAAGGACTGTCGGCTTCTGCGGAAATAGAAGTATCATCGGCAAAAAGAACTATCGAAGTAGCGCCGATATGTTGTGGTAAATCATTTATATTTAGTAAAAACATTATTGGTCCAAGACTGAGCCTTGTGGAACTCCACCTTTCAAATCATGAGTATTCGAGTTTACATTATCCCATTCTACGTACATCTTCCGGAATTGCATGTGAGGTATAATCCAAAATAGAAATTCACCTCGAATTTCAATTCCACTAAGTTTGTTGCCCAGTATATTGGAGTTCATAGAATCAAAAACCTTTGATAAATCGAAGGAGAGTGCGGCTACAAACTTTCCTTTGTCAATTCCTCTATAGATATTTTCCAAGAAAGCTGTAGTCGGACTTTCCGTCGATCTACCGGGGCAAAATCCATTTTGACATTTGTTAATCACATTATGTTTCGTTAACAAAGGAAATAGTTCTTCATAGATACATGTTTCAATTACTTTGCTCAACACACTAGGCATAGTTATTGATCGGTAGTTTTCAATCAACAAGGCATCATTTCTTTTCAAGAGAGAAACAATATTCCTACTTTCAAAATATCTGTAAAAATGTCGTCTTCCATAGATTTATTGATGATATATGCAAGTGGTTCACATATATACTCAGAAATGGCTTTGATTATTTTTGTCGAGAGACACTTCATGCCAGTGGAATTTTGCTCTTTGAGTCCAAGACTAACATTGTAAACTTCCGATGGAATAACAGGGTTAAAATAAAAACCATCCAAATTACTGACAAGATCAATAGTGTCTAGAAGGTTGACATCTTTAAAATATTGTTCCAAAATAGTTGGCACTTCAAATGAATAATGTTTGGCGAATTCGTTAGCTATAATGGATTCATCCCCTATCAATTTATGTCCAATGTACATTTCTTGGGAATATTTTTTATTTTCTTGTATACTTTCTGAGCTAAAAATTTTGTTCTGATAGTATTTCCTCTTGCACATACATATTTTTTTTCATGTCCCTTTTTTGTCTCTGTAAAATTGTATCATGTCATTATCTCCATTTTCAGTTAATCGGTGAAGTTCTCTCAGTTGTCTACCTTCCTCCCCAATATCTTCAGTAATCCACTCATTTTTGGTTATATGACAATCATATTTGATTGTCATAACGGGACATGTCAAGTCTAAATCATACAGTAATACATTGAAAAAATTTCTGAATGTAGCATTGATGTCTAATCTTTTTTCATAAACGTATTTATAAGTTTCATTTCTCAGAAATTGTCTCAAATTTGAGAAATTTCCCTCACACGTGTTGCGCCTCCTTAAGAACTTTTTGATATTACTATTATTATTAGGTATACCGTAACTTTTCAACTCGGATAACATAGCATAATGATCACTTAGATCAATTTCTACAACTTTCTCATTGAATAATGATTCATGGCAATCAAAACCAGCTGAGTCCTGTATTAGCTGAAGATCAACCTGACCGCACAGTCTAACATAAGATTTGTAGCAATAGCAAAAAGTCGACTTAGGAGTAACATTCATTACAATGCCTTTTTATGCCTTGATATGTATGACTATTTTTGAATTTCTATTCGTTATCTCATCAATGATTTCCAATGTTTCCCATTATTCCCCTTCGTTACTGAGAATTATCTTATGAAGTTTTGATTTTTTGTTCTTCTGATTAGCAAATTCAATTCACTCATTCAAATTTCATACTGACGCTTTACTTAACTTCCAATTTTCCAATAGTAACATTCTAAAATTTTTGAAGTATCATGTATTCCAACCGAATGTTTCCCATGTATGAATAAATAATAATGTAATAAAATTCCATTTCTTGTTACAGGGAATAGTAGTCAAAATATAGTAATGAAGAAAGAACCGCACAATGGATTGGGATTTCTAGAGTGAGAGTCCCAAAAGCAACGCCGCCATGTTAGGGGCAGGATTCGAATTCACGTTCAGCTAATATGTTCTTAGTGGTCTCTACAATACTGCTTCTCAGTACCGGTTTAGCAGGTGAGATGATAACTGAAGAAAAATAAATCAAAAATAGATTTTCAAAAACAAGCTACGTGCTTTCAAAATGAAAATTCGAATTAAACCGAACCCTCCAATTTTTCACAATACATAACGGATATGATACTTGTGATGTATTGTTTCGAACCTTTGGTGGAGTAACGAATATTACTAGAGTTTTTTACCAACACCAAACCGTTATTTTTAAACCTCAACACGTGTTTCGATCACCAAGTGATCATCTTCAAGAGGAAGATCAAACAGTATTGTAGAGATCACTAAGACTGTGATCTTCCTCTTGAAGATGATCACTTGGTGATCGAAACACGTGTCGAGGTGTTGAAATAACGGTTTGGTGTGGGGAAAATACTCCACTGAAATCAACATAATGTTTATGATGTAAAAACTTCTCCAGGTCAAGTTAAATATTGTATCCTCATATATGTACACAGATAAATTAATGACAAGCCTCAGTATCATATAAACTGTGAATTGACATAAATTGATGAGTTTGAATTAATCAAGAGTTTTTTTTCATTCCAGAGCATGTTCATAAAAGCTTGTTTTTGAAAAAAAAATTACTATCAATGTGTTTCTCAGTTGTCGCTGAACATGTTTCCCAGCCTGTTCATTTGATGTAATGTGTTATTGTTTTATGATCGGACCCTGCAATATTTTCCTGAGCAACACCAAACTATCCCTACTCGTGGTCAAGTTATAACTCTTCGAAAGTGACCATTCTGAATTTTCTTCCCCTTGAAGCTTTTCATTTTATATCCATATCATAAATGTGTATAAAACACACCACATGTCTTCATATTTTTCTCAGAAAATTCTTTCATTTAACACCCTCATCATAGGGTACATTATAAAAATGAGGCAGCCATCTTGGACGGTACACCATTTTGTTTATGAGAGATTTAATATACATATCATGGGGATGTCATGGGGACATCAAGGTATTTTTCGAATTCTTTACAGCTTTGTTGTTATCAAAATTTGGCAGGATGTTTCTACAAGTGAGAAATGCTACTATCGAAGATTTCGAACGCAAATTAGTAAACAAAGAAAAATTTGTTTAGTTTTCCTTCACTGATTCGCACAACAATATTTGAAAGAGGAATCCGATACTGTAATTTGGCGAAAGAACTTAAAGCAGTGGTTGGTTATTTTGGCGAAGGTTTTAGTATTTCTGTGATAATCGGTATTTACATTTCCGCTATTCTAAAGGTATATTCACTATCCTAAAGGTTTCAATACAGAAACACAAATCTTCTCCTCCAGAAAGTCGTATTTTCTTTCAATACAAGCTTTCTCCAGGTACGTTTCAGGTTTTGATTTTTACGTACGTTTCTACGAGTTAGAAAGACGTCAAAATTGGTCCACGTTATTAGTAAATGTCTCACTATTAAAAATAGTGAACATTAATTAATACTCAGTGCCAAAAATATTCCGTTTTCTTTTACACATTGGCAAAACAATACTATTTCGCATAATGGAAAAAATGTATGCTGTAATTTGGCGAAGGAAATTGTGCTTGTAATTTAATTTTCTGGCGGAAGTGTTGGTGGTTAAAAGAGGCAATCGGCAATCTGTGAAGTAATGGGTTTTTTTATTTTTACTATACAATAAAGTAATACAAATCACTATGCTTCAGAAAGTCGTATATTTTGTCAATACTGGTAAATCTGAAGGAAATCAACGAAACATTTGAAACAATAGACATTGGGTATACACTAGCATAAAATCCCATTTGAGATAATGAATACAAAGGCTAGGGTTGCAAAAATCAAATTCATGCGTTACAAGATATTTAAGAACTATAGAATGATACTAATAATTGACTGTTGAATTTGTGAAATGATCTTTTGCAAAAAGTCAAGCAGACAATCTCGAATACTAACCGAATTAAATGTTATTCATTGTGGGAAAGCGTCGCAAGTAATGAAATGAGAATTATATAATTTCATTTCAGTTCAAGGAAACCAATTTATTTCGAGTGCTTTTACTGCAACTCATGAAGGAAGAGCATTCCGTTCTATTAAGAAATCGAATGATATGATTTATATTCAATCCAGATATGATTTCCATAATTGAATTCAATTGGAAAGTGAATAAAATTCCAGTTCAAAAATAATCTCAGATTTGAGAAACAAAAATTTATTTCTGTTACAACTTTTGACGTATTTGTTGACAACTAAATATCTTGATTATAGTGGCTGAAACTAACATATATCAGATCGAACACAATTTTAATAACCTTTGAGTTTTTTAATTTTTTTGTTCAAGACCAGCATTAGTTCAACCAAGTACCACAGTTGACAAAATAACAGAATATAACAATACAATTTTCACACAGAAATGGACTCAAAATCAATGAAATAATACCAACAAACATATTGCAGAATCGGCAATCTGCTGTATGCAGATTCGAAGGATCCGCAAATTTGACATGCTTGCTGTTCACCTTTGAGCAAAATTCTAATACAAATATTCTTCAACTATATATACTCCAAAATACGAGACTGGATCCCTCCAAAAGCAGTGTTTAATAGAAACAAACTGAAGAATAGAGGCCCTCATTCAGAATTTTGTCATGAACATAATAAATGTTCATAACATAGTCGATACCCAGATTGAGAAAATTTTTGAGTTCTATTGTTCTTCAACCGTCAGATAGTTTATCAAAAAGAAGCATGCCAGGATGAATATTTTCCTTAAAGCTCTAATTATATGAAATCAGAAAACAGAGAACTGCGATATCTCCAGACTCGTTCATTTTCATGTAGACATTATTTCCAACCACAAAGTGATACGAACAAGTGTTATTGTTGATGGAACTAGTGAGATGGAAATATCACATATTTCCAATATTGAAAAATCGATTGAGGAAGCAATTTATTTTGTTCCTCCAATGAATATTCGATGAACGTGTTCTTCAATATTGTTTTCTTGAAGGACTGTGACTTTTCCTGGCAGTAAATATTTTCAGTGTATTTGTTACACAGTGCATTTCTTTAATGCCCCCCCTTTATTTTTTGAACGCGACAACTCAAAAAATTGAAATTTGGGATAATGAAACTAATACATGAATACTTTATTTTGATGTGAAATCGACCGATGTGATTTCCAAGATGACTAGGCGCCATCTGGGAAAAAAAATTAATGGAGAGAGGGGTCCTGTGATACATCATTTTGAAGCTCCTGACGAATACTTCGCAACCCTAGAATATGAAGTCAATATCTTCACATACTACAAAATGGCGGAACATTCAATAATTTCCTGAAGACAAACACATTGAAATGGATATTTCTAAAAATATTCCTTTTTATCTGCCATATGACAATTACAGTAACCCGATAAGGTTTGTTAAGTTATTTTTTGTATATGAAAAGGACAAAAATGTCAGTACGACAATGAACATCATTGTTCCGTTAGAATATCCTCATTTAGTTTTCGGTTTTACTAGTAGAAAGGTACCACGTCAACAATATCTAAAATGATCAATTCTAGTCTATTGGAAAAAAAATTGAAGCGATTTTTATTTACGGTGAGACGCGAAACTTTCACGAGACCGAAAGGATTTTAAAGGAACGTTTTCTGAATCGTCCTATATGTAGAAAATATTTGAGGGAACTTGTATCCAAATTCACAACTACCGGTAATGTACATAACAGAAAGCCCTCAGGTCATCCGTCCATTCCGGAAGAACAGCAAGTGCAAATAATTGGTGAAATGTTAGTAAATCTTGAACAGTCTACTTATTCCGCTGCGATTGTTTGTGAGGTGTCTCCTTCTACTGTGTGGAGACTTTTGAAGAGGAATAAGTATCATCCATACAAAATTAAAATGGTACACCAATCAACTGAAGATGACCCACATCGAAGAACAGAATTCTGCGAAATCATGACGGAAACTATTGCAAGGCATTCTACCTATCTCCGCAATATTTCTTTTAGTAACGAATGTACATTTTTCTTGAACGGCAATGTTCACAGACAAAATTGCCGTTATTGGTGTGACACCAACGCTTTCCCGGGAAACATATACCCAATATCCAGAAAAAATCAACGTTTGGGCAGGAATATTGGGGAACCATATTGAAGGACCTCTATTTATTGATAAAATTCAACAGGGGCACTGTATTTGGATATGCTGAAAGCTACTGTTGACCCCCTCATCATTGAAATCTTCGAAGCGAATCCTAATGAATTCGATATGGATATTGTATTCCAACAAGACGGAGCAACACCACATTACTCCAGACAAATAAGAAACTATTTGGATACTACTTTTCACGGTCGATGGATTGGCCGTCGAGGTGCTACAGAATGGACAGCCCGCTCGCCAGATTTACCACCTCTGTACTATTTTTATGGGGCTATTTGAAGCAAAAGGTATACAAAAGTGAACTTGCTTCAATATTGGATTTACGGCAGAGAATAATGAATATTTGTAGAGATGCTGACGTGACTGTGTTCGAAAATATTCGGCGTGAAATATCGGATAGGCTGTTCATATGAATTGAAGTTCAAGGCAACCATTTCGAGCATCTTCTGAACTGATCTCAAGCTCATTACCTCATATTATGTAGTTAAATGTCAAAGTATTCAGGCAATTATTGAAAGTTCCGCCATTTTGTAGTAGTTGGAGATATTAACATTATATTCTAGGGTTGTGAAGCATTTGTCAAGAGCTTCAAAAAAATGTGGCACAACACCTCTTTTTCTATTCAATTTTTTTCCCAGATGGCGCCCAGTCACCATCTTGAAAGTTTCATCTGTCAATTCCACTTCGATATAAAGTATTCATGCATTGATTTTATTATTCCAAATTCCAAATTTTTTAGTCGACCCGTTCAGAAAATAGAAGGAGGGGGTATTAAAAAAAATGCACTGTATATCATTCGACAGCTTTCAGACAGACTTAAATTTCAAAAATGCCAGAACGAATCTCATTCAATATAGTTGAGTTGCTTACAATCTACAGTGATAATATT